TTAAATCTGAAAATCAGACAAAAAGGTGAAACTTTGTGTTTGAATGGTAGTTACACAGGCATTTGCAATGTAGGTAAATTTGATTGGTATTTCCATGTTTGACTTTTAAATTAACAATATATACAGTAGCCATTGATTCTTGAATAATGTAACTTCAAATGAGCTTAGATCAACTGTCTCACATACTTACAACCCAAAATATTAGCTTATTTTACTCAATGAATTGTAAACAATGTAATTGTAATCAAACACTGTAAAACTATAATTTTGATCTCATTGCATCCATGGCTCTGTCTATTAATTTGAGCGTGGTTACATTTCTCCAGCCCCATCCCTTAGCTGTTTACAAAAAAAGTGGTGGGGTGTGCTTTGTTGTTGTTTTAATCCCAGATTGCCCTTTTAAATAGAACATAAATGTTTTATACCTGGTTATGCATATCACTACATTTCAACTTGTAATTACATGAAACCACAAACAGCCGTAACACTTGAAATTATATGTAACAATGTGTACCTAGGTCCTGGACTGGTATTACAGTGCCTACCTATGTAACTACTGTGTATTAGGGACATTTATTGTGAACTGGAACTGACAAGAATTAAAGGGCAATTCCACCACTTTTCAACCTTACATTCATTATCTCCAGCACAAAAGCAGTGTCTACATATATGAAAATGTTGCATTTCTACGTTTTGTAGAACAACATCTAAACTTAACACTGAGATCCGTGGTGATATAGGGAGCAAGTAAATTGCCACCCCTGGCTAGAAACTCGTTGAAGATTTTGAAAATCACCATAAAAAAATTAAAAAAATGTTACCCTGTGTTGTCACAGAGAAGGATGTTTTAGGACCTTTCTTCTTATCTTTATAACCACAGATCATAGAAACACGCTGTTTTCACAAATGTATACACTGGTTTGGTGCTGGAGATAATGAATGAGGTCTAAAAGTGGAGGAATTGCCCTTTAAGATATGTTTCTCTCTGCACTGTAAAACATTTAAGTATAATATACTTAGATTTTAGTGTTTCAGTAACACAAAAAAAGAAAAGTCAAACCAACTTACAGCATTTAAAAAATGTCTTAGATCCTTAATTTAATTTATTTCAGAACTGTTATTGTATATTAGATCTACATTATCTTTTTGATTAATTACTTTTGGGGATCGGGTCACAATGTTTAAGGTGCAATATGCAGAAATCACTCTGCCATTTCCTGGTAGCTATAATTTAAATAGTTCAACTAATTTCCGTTTATGTGAAAAAACAAGCAGTTATTATGTAGAGAATCATTGTAACCATCTAAACCGCTGTAAAATATATTTTCCATAACTAAGAATATTATATTTTTCAGCTGTTTGAAGCTGTTGTACAAAACCGAAAGTAAAAGACGCAAACATTTAATTTAAGAACGGGAAGAATAGAAATATCACATAGAAGAGATCTACTGCTTCTTAGACTTGCTTTCAATGAGAATGACAGATCTGTCACTCACATTTCCTCTGTAGCTCAATTGGTAGAGCATGGCGCTTGAAACGCCAGGGTAGTGGGTTTGATCCCCGGGACCACCCATACGTTAAAATGTATGCACACATGACTGTAAGTCGCTTTGGATAAAAGTGTCTGCTAAATGGCATATTATTGTTATTATTACATTTCTATGTGAATTTAGTCGGGTCGCCCAAAAAGTTACATATTGCAGCTTTAAACATGGTTTAAAAGGCATGGTTGAGCACAATGCTCATTCCACTTGCAGTAAGAGGTAAAACCGTAAGCACAGCAGGATGCTGCGATTGCCTCATTAGAAGTGGTACACATGGGCCTGATGTGACAGCTCAGAGCTTCTGCTCATTTCTGTCCAAATAGTTCTCTTGGGTCGAAGGAAGAGGCAAGAAAGGCAAGAATCAAGAAGTTAATGTATGGTTTACTGATGGGGGAGAAAGACAATTTGCCCAAAAGTATTGATACCTGTCCATCATGATACATTACACCTCATAGCATTACAAACTACTTAGTACTAATACAGAAATATACTGTTCATTCTTCAAAAACATGCGTACAACATTGTATAAAAGTGTCAAAGTAAAAACATAATTAATTTCCCTCAAGCCTCTAAAAATGGAGCCACATGGCAAGTTGTTGCAAGAACTACACATTCTTCAATTGAGAGATAGTCTCCTCCGAAATTATTGGCACCCCTGATAAAGATGAGCAAAAAAACACTGAGTGTACAAAACATTACGAACACCTGCCTAATATTGAGTTGCACCCCCTTCCTAGTTCCCACTAGCACTAGCATATGAATGTGGCATTATTGCGCAGAGATAGAGATTTTGTTTAACCACCTAGAGACTATCTAAGTAACATTTTTTAAAATTCTCATCAAAATCAGTCGATTTAAGCTAGAGATATCTGTTTTTGCATGGGCTGTATCTCAATCCACCACATCCGCCTATGTCGCAAATCCTCATCTGTGGTGGAAATTGGCAGAGCTACAGCACTGTTTGTCAGACCAAGAGAAATCCTGAAAATTGGTCTTCTCATGAAAATGTCTAACATCCGAAGGGTTTTGCCTACAAACTAATATGACCCCACTGTAGAAAGGGGAAACTCTCACGAATACAAGGTTGTTCTCCAACAAGTGTCATGGGACTCGTGGAAAGGTAACCCATACAAATTAATGGAATTAATAGAAGTATGGAGGTAGTTTTGTGCCAACAAAAATAAGGATTTAAATATGTGTAGAAAAAAAGAATATATATTACATACAGTACCAGTCAAAAGTTTGGACACACCTACTCATTCAAGGGTTTTTCTTTATTTTTACATTGTAGAATTATAATATGCCATTTAGCAGACGCTTTTATCCAAAGCGACTTACAGTGATGCGTGCATACATTTTTTTTTGTGTATGGGTGGTCCCGGGGATCGAACCCACTACCTTGGCGTTACAAGCGCCGTGCTCTACCAGCTGAGCTACAGAGGACCACATAGAATAATAGTGAAGAATCAAAACTATGAAATAACACATATGGAATCATGTAGTAAACAAAAAAGTAAACAAATGAAAATATATTTGATATTTGAGAATCTTCAAATAGCAACCCTTTGCATTGATGACAGCTTTGCACACTATATATATATTTCCTGAGCATTCTTATATCTCCTAGATATAGGACAGAAACTTCAAAACCTTTTTCTTTGTGATATACGTTTTGACAGTCTTTTTTAACCATTTTAGCCAATCCACAAAGAAATGGTTAATTGACTACAAAATCAACATTCTGCAATGACCATTTCATTTTCTGGACCCCATTGAAGACCTGTGGTTTGAATTGAAGAGGGCAGTCCATAAGTGCATACAGAAGGATATCAATCTGGAAAGATTACGTATGGCGGAATGGTCTAAGATCCCTACCAATGTGTTCTCTATCCTTGTGAGGATAACCATTGCTGTTATCCTCACAAGGGGAGTGTGCACAAAGTATTGAAAAGATGGTTGACATTAATTTCGACTCCTATTTTGTGAAACAAAACCTCTCTGAGCAAGAGTATAAGTATAAAGGATAAGTGTCACATTTTGGGGGGCATATAATATAGCTCACTATTTGTATTATTTATTTTATACAGTATTTTTTGCTAATCTTTGTCAAGGGTGACAATCTTTTTTTAGGTTATTTTGTCAATTAAACTGGTCAGCATTGTAATTTTAATTATCAAATAAATTGTGTGTGTTGTCAAACTTGATGTATTATTCCTACTGATGGTATCGGTCAGAATATGAACTGGTATTTTTCAATGTTGAGTGCAAGTCAACATGTTCTCTACTATGTGTATCAATTGGAACACGAAAGAAAGAAAGAAAGAAAGAAAGAAAGAAAGAAAGAAAGAAAGAAAGAAAGAAAGAAAGAAAGAAAGAAAGAAAGAAAGAAAGAAAGAAAGAAAGAAAGAAAGAAAGAAAGGACGTTTATTTACTGTTTCATTTAAAAAGTTTATTTACAAAATGATTTTTCAGAAAATGTACCTATATCTTAACATTTACATACATTTTAGTCATTTAGCAGACGCTCTTATCCAGAGTGACTTACAGTTAGTGAGTTATTTTTTATTTTTCATACTGGCCCCCCTTGGGAATCGAACCCACAACCCTGGCGTTGCAAATGCCATGCTCTACCAACTGAGCTACATCCCTGCCGGCCATTCCCTCCCCTACCCTGGACGACGCTGGGCCAATTGTGCACCGCCCATGGGTCTCCCGGTCGCGGCCGGCTACAACAGAGCCTGGATAACATACCTATTAGGACTTGAATGGATGATTCTATGGGCCAATTGTAAAAACACAGTGTGCCTATAAAGTATCTTTAAGATGGATTCCATAAAGCAATTGTAAAATGGTCTTCTCTGTTTTCACAGGAAGTCGAGGCATTGTTGGAGAGGAGTTCTTCTTGAAGGGCGGTTCCTCTTGTAGTCAATGATGGTGCCCAGGTGCTTATAGTACTCAACGTGCTCAATGATCTGGCCGACATACCACCATAATGGTATGTACACTATTTATGAATAATTGAAATTCCACACACATGTTTTAAATATGAATGTAATATGGTGGTTCATTTTTACTTAAAATGTCAGTGACATACCACTGTGAAATAAAATAAATGTCTAGTTGTCATTTTTCTGCTGTCTTGTAATAAAAGCATCACATAGCCTATAATGTATTAGAATAATCAGCTGTCCAATGGCTGGTTGTAGCCCTGTCCTGCAGTCAAATTACCAAATCTCCCTCTAATGGCCTCATGGGTGGAATATTATTCATAGTTCTCATAATGACATAATGACATTTCTTAAATGCTGAAAATCCGGTGTTTCTATGTAATTGATGTCAGCGAGAGCCTGTCTGCTATGTCAAATGGTTTTGTTATATTTCAGTTTTCTGTGATGCATATAAAGTGTAATATTGGGATACAAACTCAAACTTAAATGCATCTCAACTCCATATCTGACATGGTACAGGTGTCTTCTTTTTCTTAAGCCCATAACCTTGTGTGTGACGCGTATACTTTTGTTTCAAAGTCGATTTGTTTGACTACCAAGAAACAAATGTGTGACCTTGATTAAGCTCATTGCAGTAAAATGTTAACGTCTGCTTATTTAATTTCATCCAACAGCATATTTTACACAATGATAACATTGCACAAAGAGAGGGGAGTTCATTTAAGTAATTTGTATTTAAATATAAGATGACCGTTCATAACATAATTTGGGGTGCATGTTTGTAAAGTGTTACTCACATGAGTACTCATACTGTAAATGTTTTGTAAACAAATTATTCAACCCAATTACATGTGATCCAAAATATAATTATATTTAAACAGTAATGAAGAAATATATTAGATTTAATAATAACAGGATAAGTACAAACCAGGCTTTACAACATTTTTAAAATATTGCAGTGACCCATATTAGTTCCTCGTCCACTTTGAAGCTTTAATGATATGCCCAAAATAACTAAAAGTAAATATCATAAAGGTATTTGCGAATTTAAATGTAAATATAGTTACAAATCAAATAACACATTTAAAAAAACATTCAAAATGTTTTTAAAAAGCAAACAAATTATACAATAGGATTTGGATGTCACACTTTGCGGAAAGGTTTTCTAATCTTTCAGTTATTTTCAGAATAAATCTAATGCATATCTGACAAGGTACTGTACCTAATACAAATAAATACGTAATTGATGTCAGCGGGAGCCTGTATGGTTAAGTGGAAATACAGTCAATTGAAAGATAAGGTATATGCATTTAACCTTGTCACATACATTTTAGCATTGGTTTGTAAAAAAATATATATTTAATTTCTTTAATCCCTTAATTCAAAATACTATAAATATCAATATTCATAAATAAAAACAATACAAATTCTTAACGAATGTCACAAATATTTTGGCAACAAAAAGTACATTTAGTAGTGTTTTTGTTTGTGTATGTATGTAGGGGAATGTACATAAAATGCATATCTATTTTGCCTATTAACACGGTTAAAATCCATTGTGCACTCTCATGCCTAAGCAGGTCATTAATTTTAAGGCTTTCTCTCTGAGAGCTGGGAAACAGTGAATTGGTTAAACCAATGCCACAGCAGCTATGACAGGCTATTAGCTAGACAACAGTTGTATCATTAGCAGTGCCAAAGTGAGAGGCAAGGCAGCCAGACAGAAGGTAGTGGGTCCGGGAGCACTTCCCGAATTTACTGATGACTCTGAAAAAGTAGGACAAATTTAGATATTGTTCAGTAAATTATAAAAGCGGATTGTCTTTTCAATGTTTTGTTTAAATGTTGACTTTTCTCTTATAGATGTCTAGTTGTATGATGATGATGGATATTTACCAACAGTGACGCTGCCAGGTACGATGCTCAGGGAGGTGGAACTGTTACTGAAAGTTGCCAGTGCGCTGCTTGCGTTGGGAACCGAAGTTTGGTTTCTGAACACGAGAGTCATTTTGGTAACTACAGATCCACTCCTACTCAGGAGAAGAAAAGAAAATGGACAACTCACATTAATCATTATCATCGTCATCATCATCACGGTCATCGGCAAAGTTTTTAAGTCAGTCGGTAATGAGAATTCATACTTACGTGAATGAGTTGACAATGGAACGAAGGAAGTTTGGGGTGCTAGCATAAATCCTGTTCACCTGCATTGAAAGATTACCATACGATTGATTACCAAAGGTTATCATAATTCACGTAAAAATTAAAAGAGGGCCAGAACTCACAGCGCCAAAACAGCTTTGTTTTAATTTTCTGTCATAGTAACATGGCCACACAATGGAATACATTTCAGATTGCATCTTCCTCAGTGTGTGTGTGGTGTGTCTATACCATAATTCACATAAATAATGGAACAACAAGATGGTAGTCCTTTACACTCACAACCCATATATGAGTTGAAAATGGCAGAATTGGTCACTGATACGTGCCTAAATTGGAACGTAGCTATACATAACATCAGCTTAGGGTCTCCACTTTACAGTGCAGTATGGGATTCAACTGATAGATGTTCTAAACGTGAGCACCATGCGCTACAAGAAGGTGCCCCCATCCCTCCCGCTAATTGGGCTACTTTTGCTATTTTTTTTTGTCTGAGAGGGGAAAGCTGTAAATCAAGAGGACTTGATGTGTTCTGAAAGATGAGATGTTGAGGATTATAATAAATACAGCTTTGATGTCATACAAGCAAACCCAGACAGATCGCTCAAGATTGACTTTGAAATTGGACGTCTGTCCATGTCCTGAGGACGTCGGGAAATCCCATAATCCCGTGACTCCGGATTCGAAGGTTGCATATTTATTACCAGTAGTAGACATTCGTTTTTTATGTTTATGTTTCAACTCTATCCCAAACATTAACCGTTAACTTAACCTTTCGGAATGAATGCCTAAGCGTACTGTTTTAACCCTGTCCAAAACCTTAACCATTAATTAAAGGAAAATGTGTCATGCTATACATGAGTGCTGACATGCTGTACAGTGTCAAATTTCGAAGTTGCTCCAAACTTCAAATGTAAAAGTTAAAGGAAAACGCCACTCAAAAACGGTCTTTTGGTATTTGTTTCATTAGTCCATTGTTGATATAGTCCCCCAAAATGTTCCATGTCAACAATCACGTTTTCAAGATATATAACTATCAAAATACAGAAATACAGCCAGTATGATCCATTTTGAATCATAAGATGCTGTGTTTGCTTCATATGATGCAAAATGCATCATACTGGCTGTATTTCTGCATTTTAAAAGTTATATATCTTGAAGACTTGATTACTGACATGCAAAACTGTAAATGTTTCCCATGTTGTGCGCATTGCACTCTCTGTTGCCCATAACAGTGGTTAGGCAGGCACAAGGGTTCATAGGCAGGCACAAGGGTTCATGTCCACTAAAAAGACCATAAAATAGTCTGGAAACTGTTCTAAATGGGGAGGTCCCAGAGTACGATATCTTTGTACTGAATAATCTTTGGTTCTAACTAACAATAGGATGCCCACTCATACCAGTCTCTCTTGTGTGGTGTATATTGATGAAAAGGGATCTGGATACTTACCTCCGAGACCACTCTGCCAGCCAGAGCCTTGAATGCTGAAGAGGACGAGTTGGCAAGATCCGAGGTGAATGTCTGGTCGAGGCTGAACCGAAGACTCAGGGTTCCTTCACTAGAAGATGGAGGGTCAGTTGATGCGACAGCAGTGGTGGTGACCGCTGCCGGAGCGACGGTGGTGGTGGTGACCACTGCCGGAGTGACGGTGGTGGTGGTGACTGCTGCCGGAGTGACGGTGGTGGCCACTGCAGTTGTTGAAGCAGTGGTGACAGCTGTGGTTGGAGCTGCAGTAGTTATTGTAGAAGTGCCTGCAAAATTGCAACATTCAATGTAATGTTTAAATATTGCAATAAATGAGTGTGTGAGAATAAGTAAGTAAAGTGATGTTTTGGTGAATTTTCTTACGTGTAACCACAATGGAGGATGAATTGACAGGCAAGGTCAGGCCAGAAGTGTTGAAAGTAATGGCATTTTGTAAAGTTTGTGCTGCCAGGCTATTGTTAGGCACTGAGCTGATGTTGTTGAATATCAACGTAGAATCCACCACAATTGATCCTGACCTGAAAATAATATGAGACAAATGTTGATCTTTTGCTAGCTTTACTTCAGTAACAAACCCCCTCCCAAAGCATACTAAATAAAAATGCTTGTAGAAATCTTATTTTTCTCCATAATCCACACTGTTCCAAAGTTACCTACCGGAAACTATTGACAACAGTTCGAATGAAGCTCGCTCCAAATTTAGCCTTGTACACATTATTCAGCTGAAAAACATTGGATAAAGAATTATAAGTTATATTACGTTAACAATTCATCAATGTAAGGGTGGTTTCAATATGCCATATGATCAATTATGATGAAGATGATCATGATTATGATTTTTTGAAGCGCCTTTCAAGACAACTAAGGACACTGTCTATGGTCAAATGAAATCAAATGAAAGTTACCTGTGTAACCACTTGACTTTCCAAATCCTGGAACTCTGGTGAACTGCTGTTGCTCAAAGAGCTAGTGAAGATACGTGTCAGGCTGAACTGCAGTGAAATTTTAGGGCTGGTTAGTGGCGCCTCTGTTGTTGGGGCTGCCTTCGTAGTTGGCACTTGGGTAGTTGCTAACATGGTAGTTGGCACTGGGGTAGATAGTACTGTGGTCAAATTGGTTACCGGAGCTAATGTAGCTAGAGTTGAATTTGCTGCTGGGGTAGTTAGAGACGATATTGCTTTGATTACAGTGGTAGTTGGAGGAGCTGTTGCATTGAGTACTGGGGTACTTGGAGAAGCTGTTGTGTTGATTATTGGGGTAGTTGAAGGAGCTGTTATGTTGATTACTGGGGTAGTTGGAGGAGCAGCAGTGGTTATTGTTGGATCAGCAGTGGTTGTTTTTGGAACAGCTGTGGTTGTTGTAGGAGAAGCTGTGGTTGTTGTAGGAGCAGCTGTGGTTGTTGTAGGAGCAGCTGTGGTTGTTGTAGGAGCAGCTGTGGTTGTTGTGGGAGCAGTTGTGGTTGATGTGGGAGCAAATGTAGTTGTTGTAGGAGCAGGTGTGGTTGTTGTGACAGCAGCTGTGGTTGTTGTGGGAGCAGTTGTGGTTGATGTGGGAGTAGCTGTGTTTGTTGTTGAAGCAGCTGTGGTTGTTGTGACAGCAGCTGTGGTTGTTCTTGGATCCGCTGTGGTTGTTGTTGGAACAGCTGTGGTAGTTGTGGAATGAGCTGTAGTTGTTGTGGGAGCAGCTGTGGTTGTTGTAGGAGCAGCTGCGGTTGTTGTGGGAGCAGCTGTGGTTGTTGTGGGAGCAGCTGTGGTTGTTGTGGGAGTAGATGTGGTTGCTGAGGGAGCAGCTGTGGTTGTTGTGGGAGCAGCTGTGGTTGTTGTGGAAGTAGATGTGGTTGTTGTGGGAGTAGCTGTGTTTGTTGTTGAAGCAGCTGTGGTTGTTGTGACAGCAGCTGTGGTTGTTCTTGGATCCGCTGTGGTTGTTGTTGGAACAGCTGTGGTAGTTGTGGAATGAGCTGTAGTTGTTGTGGGAGCAGCTGTGGTTGTTGTAGGAGCAGCTGCGGTTGTTGTGGGAGCAGCTGTGGTTGGTGTTGGAACAGCTTTGGTTGTTGAGAGAGCAGCTGTGGTTGTTGTGGGAATAGCTGTGGTTGTTGTGGGAGTAGCTGTGGTTGTTGTGGGAGCAGCAGTTGTTGTTGTGGGAGTAGCTGTGGTTGTTGTTGGAACAGCTGTGGTTGTTTTTGGAGTAGCTGTGGTTGTTGTGGGAACAGCGGTGGTTGTTGTAGGATTAGCTGTGGTTGTTGTAGGAGCAGCTGTGGTTGTTGTGAGAGCAGCTGTGGTTGTTGTGTTAGCAGCTGGGGTTGTTGTTGGAGCAGTTATGGTTGTTGGTGGAACAGCTGTGGTTGTTGTGGGAAGAGTTGTGGTTGTTTTGGGAGCAGCAGTGGTTATTGTTAGATCAGCTGCGGTTGTTGTTTGAACAGCTGTGGTTCTTGTAGGAACAGCTGTGGTTGTTGTTGGAGCAGCTTTGGTTGTTGTGGGAGCAGCTGTGGTTGTTGTGGGAGCAGAAGCAGATGTGGTTGTTGTGGAAGCAGTTGTGGTTGTTGTTAGAGCAGTTGTGGTTGTTGTTGGAACAAATGTGGTTGTTGTTGGAACAGCTGTGGTTGTTGTAGGAGCAGCTGTGGTTGTTGTCGGAGCAGCTGGGGCTGTTGTTGGATCAGCTGTCGTCGTTGTTGGAACAGCTGTGGTTGTTGTGGAAGCAGCTGTGGTTGTTCTAGGAGCAGCTGTGGTTGTTGTAGGAGCAGCTGTGGATTTTGTGGGAGCATTTGTGGTTGTTGTGGGAGCAGCTATAATTGTTGTGGGAGCAGCTGTGGATGTTGTTGGATCAGCTGTGGTTGTTGTTAGAACAGCTTTGGTTTTTGTGAGAGCAGCCGTGGTTGTTGTGGGAGCAGCTGTGGTTGTTGTAGGAGCAGCTGTGGTTGTTGTAGGAGCAGCTGTTGTTATTGTGTGTGCAGTTGCGGTTGTTCTGGGAGCAGCTGTGGTTGGTGTTGGAACAGCTTTGGTTGTTGAGAGAGCAGCTGTGGTTGTTGTCGGAATAGCTGTGGTTGTTGTGGGAGTAGCTGTGGTTGTTGTGGGAGCAGCAGTTGTTGTTGTGGGAGTAGCTGTGGTTGTTGTTGGATCAGCTGTGATTGTTGTTGGAACAGCTGTGGTAGTTGTGGGAGCAGCTGTGGTTGTTGTTGGAGAAGTTGTGGTTGTTGTTGGAATGGCTGGTGTTGTTGTGGGAGCGGCTGTGGTTGTTGTGGGAGCAGCTGTGGTTGTTGTTGGAGTAGCTGTGGTTGTTGTAGCCCCAAATGTAGTTGTCGTTGGAGAGTCTGTGGTTGTTGTGTAATCAGCTGCGGTTGTTGAGGGAGCAGCTGTGGTTGTTGTGGCTTCTGGGGGTTGAGTTTGTAGAATCACCTCTGTAATTATAAAATGGATTGTTAGGTGTTCTATTCTGATTGACCGAATGGAGTTCTATAGGATTTAATCAGGCCTAATGTTCATTAACTGCACAGTGACAAAAAATTGTGTACAACTCAAAACTATTTCTAACAGAAAATCCAGGCAACAAAGTTACACAAGTTTCATCAACAATGTTGAGGACGGAAGGTTACTCATTTTTACTACACTAGCAAACTAGCTAGCCAGCTTTCTAGTCCTGTTATTGAGATTAAGATAAGAAGGAAATTGGTTTTCTCTTAAGAAAATTCTTTTTTTTACAACCACATTTGTTAGTTTGTTTTCTATGTCAAGTAGCAATAATATAAAACAGATTATCAACTCTGGGCTGCGTCGTTCAATGAAAATTAACTACTTCACCTCAGCTACCTCTTTGGGACCGTATCACACCCCCCAAGTTATGTTTTATTTTAATAGAACTGCACAGCCTTGAATTGACCATCCCTTGCATATTCAATCTATAATTAACTGATATGTTACAACAAAGTAGTAACAGTAAATCTGTGATGAACAACTAGTGCAAATAATATTTGAGTCTTACTTGTCGCCACAACAGAGGCTGTGTTCACTGGGAGAGAGAAATTAGAGCTGTTGCTTGAAATTGCCTCTAACATCGTGGCAGCCACATCACTGGTCTCAGGGACTGAACTGATATTGTTAAATACCAGCTTAGTGTTTACCACAACTGAACCTTGACTGGAAAACAACCACAATTATTATTTTAAATTATATGATTTCATCATTAGATCAGATTCATGTTTCAATTCTATGACAACTATGAACAATTAATCAAATGACTTCTACCTTAAATAGAAACCCACGAACGGCTCAATGTAAGAAAATAATGCTTAGAATTACTACTTACCTGAAACCTAGAACCTCTATGCGATTGAAACTGGATCCATATTTATTTTTATACACATTGTCCAGCTGTAAAAATAATATGAATATATCATATTTTATAAATTAATACGTCCTGAGACATTGAGAAGGTACTGCATTGAAAAAGATTTTACAACTCATGGTTAAAGTAATTTACACTAATTTAAAGGTTGGCTTATCATTCTGAAATATTTTCTCCATTACTTGTAAACTACTTCTAAATCAATATATCAATCAATCATTTAAATTCAGTGGTAGCAGTCATTGAGCAGACCTTAAAAAAAAGTTTTACCATAAATTCCCTGGATTAATAGCATGATCTTTGTTTTACTGAATTGACTAGACTAAGCCTATTTTGTTAGGGAACCTAAAAGCTTGACATTAAACGGGTGGAAAATAAATGAGTATTTACCGCTGTAGCCACAGTTGTTGCTAATGCTTGGAACTCTGGTGAAGACGCATTATTCAAGTCTGCTGTGAAGTTTTTCTCCAATTTGAACTCCAACTTCACCTCTGGTGGTGGAGGGGCCGGTGTTGTAGTAATGGTTGACAAACCAGTTGTAACTGTGGTCAGAACAGCTGTGGTTGTTGTGGGAGCAGCTGTTGTTGTTGTAGGAGCAACAGTGGTTATTGTGGGAGCAGCTGTGGTTGTTGTGGGAGAAGCTGTGGTTGTTGTTGGAGCATTTGTGGTTGTTGTTGGAACAGCTGTGGTTGTTGTGGGAGCAGCTGTGGTTGTTGTGGGAGCAGCTGTGGTTGTTGTTGGAGCAGCTGTGGTTGTTGTGGGAGCAGATGTGGTTGTTGTGGGAGAAGCTGTGGTTGTTGTTGGAGCATTTGTGGTTGTTGCTGGAACAGCTGTGGTTGTTGTTGGAGAAGCTGTGGTTGTTGTGGGAGCAGGTGTGGTTGTTGTTGAAGCAGCTGTGGTTGTTGTGGGAGCAGATTTGGTTGTTGTGGGAGAAGCTGTGGTTGTTGTTGGAGCAGTTGTGGTTGTTGTTGGAACAGCTGTGGTTGTTGTTGGAACAGTTGTGGATGTTTTAGGAACAATTGTGGTTGTTATTGAAACATCTGTGGTTGTTGTTGGAACCGTTGTGGTTGTTGTTGGAACAGCTGTGGTTGTTGTTTGAAAAGCTGTGGTTGTTGTTGGTACAGCTGTGGTTGTTGTTGGAACAGCCGTGTTTGTTGTTGTAACAGGTGTGGTTGTTGTTGTAACAGGTGTGGTTGTTGTTGGAACAGCTGTGGTTGTTGTAGGAGCAGCTGTGGTTGTTGTAGGAGCAGCTGTGGTTGTTGTGGGAGCAGTTGTGGTTGATGTGGGAGCAAATGTAGTTGTTATAGGAGCAGGTGTGGTTGTTGTTAGAACAGCTGTAGTTGTTGTGGGAGCAGCTGTGGTTGTTGAGGGAGCAGCTGTGGTTGTTGTGGGAGTAGCTGTGTTTGTTGTTGAAGCAGCTGTAGTTGTTGTGACAGCAGCTGTGGTTGTTCTTGTATCCGCTGTGTTTGTTGTTGGAACAGCTGTGGTAGTTGTGGGATGAGCTGTAGTTGTTGTGGGAGCAGCTGTGGTTGTTGTAGGAGCAGCTGCGGTTGTTGTGGGAGCAGCTGTGGTTGTTGTGGGAGAAGCTGTGGTTGTTGTTGGAGCATTTGTGGTTGTTGTTGGAACAGCTGTGGTTGTTGTGGGAGCAGCTGTGGTTGTTGTGGGAGCAGCTGTGGTTGTTGTTGGAGCAGCTGTGGTTGTTGTGGGAGCAGATGTGGTTGTTGTGGGAGAAGCTGTGGTTGTTGTTGGAGCATTTGTGGTTGTTGCTGGAACAGCTGTGGTTGTTGTTGGAGAAGCTGTTTTTGTTGTGGGAGCAGGTGTGGTTGTTGTTGAAGCAGCTGTGGTTGTTGTGGGAGCAGATTTGGTTGTTGTGGGAGAAGCTGTGGTTGTTGTTGGAGCAGTTGTGGTTGTTGTTGGAACAGCTGTGGTTGTTGTTGGAACAGTTGTGGTTGTTTTAGGAACAATTGTGGTTGTTGTTGAAACATCTGTGGTTGTTGTTGGAACCGTTGTGGTTGTTGTTGGAACAGCTGTGGTTGTTGTTTGAAAAGCTCTG